TTTGTTCCGAGGGTGAAAACATTCACGAACGGACAGGATGTTCAGCCTACCCACCTTGCCTAATCCGCTTGCCGACACCCCGGATTTAGCTGCGCAGAAGGCCTCCGCCCTAACGGACAAGCCTCAGGTTCTAGTCACGGAGGCCGAGAATCAGGGGTCAGCCACAGGACAGCCAGGTAGCCAGGCCCAGAAGTCATGGGAGGAGCGAGCAAGTTTCCGGGCCAGTTCAAGCTGACAACCTCTACAGATCTCTGCAGTTTCAGTGCAAGACAAATCTCTTGAATTGTGTGCATCAGACATAGGTGATATTTTCGCATGCAGTGCAGGAAGTTGTTTATAGAGTTTCACGTCACTTCTCGGGCTGGCCTCCCTTGTCGAGGGTTCCGCGGCTTACCAGGGTTCTCTGTACCCGTGGCCCACTGCAAGACTGCAAGAGAGCGGGCCCATTGAGACCGTTGCTAAGACAAGGCAACAGGCCTCATCTTCGCCGGTGTTGCCGTTGCTTCAGGTGCACCGGCTCTGAGCTTGACGGATGCATTAAATTGTTTGAGTTGAGAATTTACGGCTCGGGGTGGTAGCAGCCTAGACTCCCAACAAGGACCGGGACAGCGCTTCAATAGACGCTTTGCCAACAGGGTCTGGATGTCGCCAGCCTACAAGAAGGCCAGACAGGACCGCCTTTTCAGGGAAATCCGGGTTATTTTACTAGTCCAGGATCACCCGGTGGTCGCAGCATGTGCAACCCATCTAGCCTCGCTCGACGCCGCTTGCTTCAACCTGCCCCCCAGCATGGACGACTCAACGCAGGAGGACTTCCTGCAGTGCCTCTGGTGCAGATCCGTAGCAGCCGTAGTGGGATGCCTGGACACCTGTGCCTCTTCAGTGGAAGCAGCCTCGGGTATCCTCCACGCCTCTAGGGCCTCCGGGACGTCAGTCTTCCTCTTCCTGGACAAGCAGCATTTCTTCTGGGCGGGCTTCACTTCAGTCATACAGGACTCAGGCCTTAACTTATGCCCAAGTCCCGACGGAGAAGCCATTTTCATTGCATCGTGCGTCCTGCCCACATGGCCCCCCAAAGACAAAGACCTAGCAGCCATGGAGATAGCCGGCCGACTTTCTTGTCTGGCCACCAGCGGAAACCACGAACATTCTCAGTCCTTAGGCTCATTGCTTAACCGCGACAAGCCTTTTGTCTCCAGCAGGCCTCCTATCTGCGACGGTGCAGGGTCAGTCAGCTCAGCCGACCATAGCATACCTTCGCGATCTGCCCTCTCTAGGGGGGCTGCCGCCCTCCTCAAGTGGGCCTCTGCCTCAGACCTGCCAAAACGTATCTTCGCCCACGTGAGCCAAAGCCGTCCCGGCCACCCACTTACTGAGGAAGAACAGCGTCAGGCACTCCATCACCTCTGTCAGGCCCTGGACCTCCACCCAGCCGAAATAGAAACCGCTGAACAGCCTTGGCCTCAGCCCACTGGAGCCACCCGTCTTCGGTGCCACACAGTGGCAGCACAGAGACCCGCCTCGGGTTTAGCCCTTGCCTAGGACATCGTCTACTTCGAGTTCTGTTTTCACTCTGCCTATGCCTCATCAGCCTCTGCTGAGGCGATTTAGTGGCCACAGCCTAAGCGCCTCGCTCAGGCCAGCCTACATACATGCATTTTTCATGAGACTACGTAGTGGCCTACATACAGTTTCACCTGTTCTCACACAGCCTAGCCTAAAGGGGGTTTCTTTTGCAGGCCTCGGCTAGCCGAAGACCGGGCCTCCCCTCTGTGGCTAGCCTCGACTCTGCCGTTACAGATGCAACACGGAAAACGAGTGCTAGGTCATGTGCTAGAGCAGTGCAAGCCCATCTGAACCAAAATTTCCAGTTCCGGTTGGACTTTGGGGCAATTTCAAGAGGCCCGGACGCCGCACTGCAGCTCAGGATTTTCTTGACTTGCGGTGAAGGCCGGGAGTCGCTGAAGGGCCAGCACAAGTGTTTTACCCAGAAGACAGACAGGGTTTGAGTGTATTTTGTGCAAGTTCGTTCACGCTGGTTTATGCAAGTTGAGAGCATGTTTGACCACCGCCCATTTGGAGGTTCAAGTATGGGACAACTCGAGTTTGTAGCATGGCGCAGCACTGCTTTGTTTTCCGTCTGCAAAACTTCGCAAGCAAAGGGACTTCTGCATGACGCGAAACTGGAACAGCCGGAAAAATTCCAATTTTTCAAGGCGACTCCGGAAGCCTGTTTCTTTGCAGGGAAAGCCCCAACGTCAAGAATCCGTTCAGACACCAGGGTTCAAGAGGGGAGCATGGGGAGTTTGCACCGGTGAAAACTGCAAAAAGTGAAACGGGCGCAGCTGCCCTTGAGGGTCGTTGCAACTTTATTGACACAGGCCTTTCTAAGACGAAATTTGGTACTGTTGCTGCTGCACTTGGTAAGAACGCAAAATTTTTTCGACTTGATTGATTGAAACGAATGCGCAGCATGGCGCGAATATGCTATTTGCGAGCTCTGGCGCCCTTGCGTTGTTGAAACAGCTCAATCACAAACGAGCTTTCAGTTCCATTTGCAAAGTTTATCATTGGTCCACATCTCTTCAACCACCTAACCCAAAGTTCGTGGAGGATGAGGATGGAACGGTTGCTGTTCAGAGGCGCCTTTTCATGAACGTGCATTTCAGCTGGTCGAGAGTTTGTGCAGGTTGCGGCTGCTGTATTTTGCTTTCTTTTGTGTAGCATCGTTCAACAGATCCCAAGCCTCTTAAAATTTGCAGGAGTGCAACCATTCCGGCTCAAGCATATTTGCGTGTGCGGTTGTGCGCGCCTTTCTTCGTTTGCCAACTCCATTCAACATGGCGCCACGTGTCCGCACGAAGTCCAACGGCCGCTGTTTTACCGCCCGCCATAAGATGCCTAAGAGCCCGAAGCCAAGCATCTATCTATCCCGGAGCGTGCCATCGAACTTCCTCGGGTTCAATAGGTCCATCGCGCATCGGGCAGGATTTAGTAGTTCTTGAGGTAAAATATGAGCTACGATGCAAGTCCAGAAGCCGTCCGCAAATTATGCCCCTATATTAAAGAACTGTACAATATACATTTTCGTAAGATCTCTATATATATATATATGTTTGTATGTATATGTATGCATACAGTAATATCCATAACAAAAACAGTGTATTCAAAATACATAGCAGCAAATGTAATATGTAGATTCTGTATATTGTCTATTTATGTATTATTATTTATATTGAGAATATATGTATATATATGTATTGTACCAATGAATATGCAATTGTACATCTTCATTTATACTGCAATACTTACTATAAATATATTATGATGCCGCATAGTGTGATAGAATGGAACAGTTCAATATGTAAATCTGTCTTATAATGTATTATATATACATATATATATTTATACATATTGTAATAGATATGTATGATACAAAAAAATTAGTTTAATAGATTGTACAATAGGCATAGAATAAAGCAAAACAATGTATATAATAGCTTGTTGCTCTTCGCCCAAGCAGGGCCTTAATTCGACGGAGAGAGCCAATACGGATGAGACCATGTATATAATAACATATACCATAAACATAACTAATATAACATATATGTAATAATTGTAATTTGAGAAAATCAAAATATATATATATATGATATGATAAATATTCCATACAGTATTTAGAGTATGATATAACATAAAGCATATGTAGTATTCATTTTTTGGAATTTTTTAGATACATGTATAATAAGACAGATACACAGACACATATTTTGTAAACGATGTTCAGTACATATATATATATACTATCAGATATATTTGACATAGTAGATATATTAAATATATAAAACATCCTAGATAGAGCAGATATTCAGATGTATGACTAGGTATATCAGATATCTGAGGCATATTGGATATGCTCGACATGTCAGATATATTATTAGCTATATCAGATATATTCGACACATTAGATATATTAGATATATCAGATAGATTAGGTATAATAGTAATGTCAGATATTTCAGGTGCATCGGGTATATGATACAAACAACACGCAACATATTGTACATGATATACAGCATATATACATATGCAAATTAATATAATAGTATGTAATGTATGATATTGAACAGGTATTATGCAAGATAAAGTTTACAAAGAATAGTAGATGGTATATACGCTATCATATAGCAGGTCGTATGTTGAGATTAGATTGCACGTAACCGAGAATGGGCATTCGCAAATAGATAATACGCAGTACCAAGTATATAATATATATTATATGTCATATATTATACAATTGGTAGCAAGTAGCAGATAACATGCAACACGTGATCTGTAGTTTTTCATTTATGTCATTATATATATATATATAGAGCATACAGTATATGATATATATCGTCCATGGTTTATAACATTTAGTCTTTACAATATATATATATATATAACATCAAAATACTACAGGTAGACATTTATATCGGATCACATAACGCAAACATACATTTTATATAGCATTTATCACAAAATACATTATAATCTAGACAGTATATTTGAATATCAAATATACACTAGACATATTGGATATCAAATCTTGATTACCGACTTTATAATAATTCGACATGTTTAGTTATCACAATATGTATATAAATATATGTGTGTCATGCATTATATGGTATATAATGCATGGCATATTTAGTATATGATACAGTACATACAAGATATATGTTATATGATATACAACCTACGAGACATATGTTCATTAGAGTATAACGTCTTCAACTTGGAATGTACAATAGACAGTATAGGTGTTGTAGATCGTTTTATATTTAGCAGAATGTAGTATAACATATCCAGATTTTTGCATAAGATAGCATAATACAGCATCATATTACATAGCAACAGACCAGGCTTATCACTGCTCGAGTCTTCGTTGCGCTCTTGACCGCCGGCCTCGGCCCACGTGTACAGCCGGAACTAAAGCCACTTGGAGTCTCCAGGGGTTTAAGCTTTTGCTTAGGCTTCATCTTGAACTCTAAAACCTAAGTCGTAAAACGCGAAGTCCTAAACCGCATTGACTTGAAATCCTAAACCCAAGGCTTTGGGTTTGGGGCTTCGGTGCTAGGTTTCGTTCGGACGATCCTGAAATTCAAACGTTTGTTTGCTGTCGGAATTCGTTTTCAGTCTCGAGGTCAATTCAAGCAGATTCTTGTCCTGAGGTTCCATACTGTAAGGGATACTAGAAAGGATACCATGTGGTTTAGGGTGCTCCTACCCAAGTCTCCACACACCAAGCTGGTAACCCCACGCTTGAAAGTTAGTTCGTCGGTCAACCACCTTAACCCCACCCTCAAACCCTCGTGAAGCCCAAGCCACCTTTCTGAAACTCCACTCGATTTTCGATATTCTGGGGCAAAGAGCAGGCATGAGCCTGCCAAAAGTGGTGCCAACACATCCGTGGCCGCTTGCGTCGACGCGGAGCCTTGCTTGTCAGTGACACATAGGAAGGGTCGGCTTTGGGGTTTCAGGCTTAGTGTATATTTTGTTTGAGGGTTTATGGTTAGGCAGACTGAGGGCTCGGGAGCATTCAGGCAATATAGCAGGGTTTGTTTCATGTTTTTGGTTCACGGTGTTTGATGATTAGCTTCCCGACGGTACGCAAATCTTCTCCCATCGAGGCGTTCGTTATTAAGCGATGGCGTTGAAGCTTGAGGTTGATAGGTCAATTTCAGAAAATGCCCATCCCTCTGGCCGATCATGATGGTCATCACGACACCTTCGCGACTGCAGTTCCCTTTGAGAAAGCAGAGCTGTTGCCACCACCAACCAACATGGAGGAATACATGATCAGAGATCCACAATAAGTGCGCTCCACTCCTCAGCCGCCGCGAAGTCCCCAAAAATGCAAACCCTCAGCCTTGACCTCAAGCCCTAAAGCCCTACCGAATCCCTAAACCCAAATACCCCGACTAAACCCCTAAACACTCTCCCAGCTTTCCCGGAACCCCCAGCAGGACTCCTCCTTCTGCCGCAGTGACAATGTGTGGTACTACCAGTCGGGGCAGTGCTGCACCAAGGACAGGGGCGCATCCATGCAACCAGGCATGCATGTGTACATGCATGCATGCGCACATACATATAACATGCATATTTCCGTGCATATGTATATATATATATAT